AAAAGAAACAGTTAATTTCTTTTAAATATTGTTGCAAAAGATTCAGATTTTACTTTTTGACAACCTTTGTACACTCAGATCGATGGAGTTGCTATGTGTTCTCCCATTGAAAACCAACTTTACTTTCTTTATACGCTTATCACCAAGGAAAACGGTTGCCTCCTGACTACTGTTTACAGAAAACCTGTTTTTATTTGAGCATTTCCACCTTAATTAACAGAGCACATAATATTTGCTCCACCTGGTCCCTTATTGATATGGAAATGAAGTTCTTATTAAATTACTTTGAAACAAATGGTTACCCAGACAGTATTTTATCAGAAAACCCTGAGATTATTTTAAAGTTTACCAGCCTATAAAACTTACGTCTGTTCCTAAGCAAACCAAATACATCAAATTACCGTATCTCAGACGATTAAGTTATTGCGTTCGAAAACAATTACGGTCGTTTTTGAAACGTATGCCAAAGAAAGATGTTCATCACACCCTTGGTTATCACTTTCGTTATATGTGTACACACATATATATATATATATATATATATATATATATATATATATATAGAGAGAGAGAGAGAGAGAGAGAGAGAGAGAGAGAGAGAGAGAGAGAGAGAGAGAGAGAGAGATAGAGGGGGGTCGGGGGGCGGGAAAAAACCCTCTAGAGCTAAATGCTTATTAAATTTCTGTCGGAAAATCTGCATTTCTCGGCCCCCTATAAAAATTCCTATCTACGCCACTGATATTTGCATGTGTGTGTGTAAAAATATATATATACACACACATATATATGTGTATATATACATATGTATGTAAACATATATATGCATATATATATATATGCATGTATATAAACGTATACACACACACACACACACACACAGATATATATGTGTATCTCTTATGAGGAAACGTCTGTCCGCTTCGACGCTTTCTTGACTGGCTCTTGCCTCTGCTGGTAAACCTGCGCTGTGTCAATTTTTCTGCCTCTACAAGTGGGTTGTGATGTGTCTATCTTGGGGCCTAGTGACTGGTAGCCTGTCTCACATGTCGCCACATTTTAGTTTGGTGGCCAGAATTTACAAATTCTAACCATTTCTCCACACTAACTCGCTCGGTAGCATCTTGAGTATACCTTAGCACCTCTCTCAGGAGGGAAAGATTCTCCTGTGTCGTCTGAAAAAAACACCACGGATTATCTGGAACGACAGTATTAAAACTGATGCGCCGTTAATTTGGCAGAAAGCATATCCCTCACACAGACAATCAGTAAACCACACCCGTAACACTGCAAAGTTTATTCCCAGAAAAAATGGCTCTTGTGACATAATCCGTAGAGACAGGAAAAATTGCAAAAGGTTGTCACAGTAGGAAAAGAGGATGCTAGCTCTATCCTGAGAGAATAACTACTGTTCATAAATGAGATTTAGTGGAAAGGAAAACAGAGTGACAGAGATGTCACAAAGGATGCAAAATTCCATTGAGTTTAGACGTACATCGAAGACATACTTAAGTGAATAATATTGAGATAAAACGCAAAGCGATACATGTCAGAGACCCAACGTGTAGTACGTGGTATTCAGCATGAAGGCGCAGGGCTGTGTATCTTGTTCGTATTAGTATCAGTTTTCTATTGGCTTTATTATTATATTAGTGTTACAGATATAATAGCCATTGCTATTACTACTATCATTACTATATTTTTTTATTACTGTTTGTTACTATGATTATTGTTATTATTATGTACATTATAATGAGTTATTAATATCATTACTATTATTGTTTTTATTGTTTTGTTATTGTTAATATTATTATTATTATTATTATCATTATTATCATTATTATTATTATTATTATTACCATCATCACCATTATTAATATTATCACCTTATTATTGACATCATTATTATCCCTATTATCATATTTGTTTTGGAATGTTTCATATTATCATCACTATTATTATAATGAACTTTAAGTATTACGATCACTATGGTTGTCATCCAATTATATTATCGCTATTACAGTTAGGGTGTAAAAGTCTAACCACAATATGAAATGTTTCCTGATGGTTTGTATTGTTACACTTATTTTTAACAATTATCAGTATAGTTTAGTTAGTCCGTTCTTTGAGGACTGGAACCATAGTGAGAAACAAATGTGTGATCAGCAGGTCCCGTTATGGTGGTTATTTGCAGGGTAACACGGTATTGAGGTCTCGCAAGTTCAATGTTTTTATTTCCCTACTCTACCATATGGGTGAGTGAATGATATGGAGATGGGTGTGAATACTTGTTCTTTACATGGCTGAAGGAGTATGACAAATGGAAATGAGAAATGAGTTTCCGCTGAACGAACTCCATCGGGCCCAGCAGCCTATTCGAAGGAGGATCGGGGGGGCGGGGAGCAGAGACGAATTTCTCGGGGCAGAGAGCTACTCTTCTGATATGTACGAGCAAAATAATTGGGAGTCGCCTCCCTGTTTATTTGTCCTCCGCACATCCATTATGGACAGCGTTTCAGTCCATTTAGCGTACAACTCCGGCGTGTAACTTTGCCCGTTTGTTGAATGTGGTGCCTGATCGCGCGCATCCGTGCCCGACATGACGTCATTTGTTTGCGCTGTTTTGATCAGATTTGAACTGCACTCTGCGAGGGGCAGGGGGCGGGGCATTTTCCAGCCCTTTGTAAGCTGATGAGTCTAGGCATACACGCACGGAATTATATATGCGTTTATATACACACATATGTGCATACGCACATAACACACACATATATATATGTGTGTGTGTGTGTGTGTGTGTGTGTGTGTGTGTGTGTGTGTGTGTGTGTGTGTGTGTGTGTGTGTGTGTGTGTGTGTGTGTGTGGTGTACACACACACACACACACACACACACACACACACATATATATATATATATATATATATATATATATATATATACATACATATATATATATATATATATATATATAAATATATATATCCCATTCGCGCCGGGTGTCACGTATACGTGACATGCCCACTGTGAGTTTACTTGTTTAATTGTTTTTACCCATAGATAGCTACACGTGAACTTGTACTGCTTGTCTCGCCCGTTTACCCTTTTCTTTAATTTACGAAAATATTTCACGTTATCTTATTTTGCTGTTACTAATGTTTATAACATTATAGTAATTATACTGTTTATAATAAAAAATAACCATCGATATTCATAGCACCAGTAAAAAATACATTTTCCCGCCAAATGAAATCAGTTAAGGCAGAGCCATCTATGTATAGAGACATTTCACAAAAAGTATAAAAAATGAGCGCAGCATTTTCCTCATTTTTTGTTCATCTTTACCCGTCGCGAATGGGATATATATATATATATATATATATATATATATATATATATATATATATATCAGAGCCGCCGGGGAGGATATGTACACACATGCCATGCCTCCCGTGAGTTAAATTCATTAATTGTTTTTACCGATAGATGGCTCCATAAATAGTAACTCATCAATGAGCCAGTTGCGAGAACCGCCTGCCTCACCTGTTTACCCTGTTTTCGAAAATATTTCCTGGCATCTAATATAATAATTACAATGTCTATGATAAAAATAACAGCATCGATATTAATAGCATTAGTAAAATTAAAATCACAATATTTACTAATTGACTCTTGTGGCAAAGCATTTGCAGAGCCATCTATGTTGAGAAATATTTCACAAAACAATACTATAGTGAGCACAGCATTTTTCCGGAGACTTTGGGATGTGTATATATATATGTGTGTGTATGTGTACATATATGGATAGACAGATAGACATAGACTTTATTACGTATCAGTAAGCTTGTAAATATTTTTAATTGCCTTGAACAAGCTAGAAGCCCGACTATTAAAGCTATTTTGGCCGATCCGTAATAAATATTACTAGTGAGAATGAAGTGTGTTATTCATTATATTATTAATTTTATTATTAATTTACCATAATTATAAGATACATACATACATACATACATATATATATACATATATATATATATATATATATATATATATATATATATATATATATATATATATATGTATATATATAACATTATAACATTTAAGCAGCAATATCACAAGACTTGTTTAGTTAGCGTACATAATGCAGCAAAAACAATGACTGCAGATCAAAGTTAACTCGCCGAAAATATTAATAATTAATGTTAAACCACTACAATTTCTGGGCCATGATCACGATAATATAAATAACTATGGTGTCAATAAAAGCATTTATGATAATGATGAGATTATAATATAAATGATGACAAAAGTAATGATAATAAAAACAACAATATGCACATACAAACACACATATCTATATCTATATCAATTTTCTCTCTCTCTCTCTCTCTCTATCTATCTATCTATCTATCTATCTCTCTCTCTATATATATATATATATATATATATATATATATATATATATATATATATATATATATATATATATGTGGGGGGGGGGGGGTGTATGTGTGTGTGTATGCTTATTCATCTTTGACTACGTCTGTATGTGTCTGTATGTCCATGTGTAAAAATCCGTAATTGTATAATTGCTAAATCATTCGCAAGGTCAAACTTTATGCAATATTTAAATTCGTAGATATGCTATTATCACAGAAGTGGACCGTACTTATTAACTGTACGGTTTTCAGTTTGATACGTCATCATTTTCTCTGGGGCTTTTACTACTTTGAATGTCCTGCTGGATCTCCAATTACCAAAGATATTTAATCTGAGCTTAGATATATTAGAAATAATCCTCATGCTCTCCAGTGAGGTAAGTATCACACAAGTACTGAAACGTATTCTTATCTTTGTAATTGATGAAAAATTTATTCTTATATCTTATCTGATTTCCAACTACTTTTAGATACGATTTCGAATTAATAATCAATAAAAAAAAATGTCTTAAATGACTTACGGATAAGGAAATAGTTTTAAGCCCGTAGTCCCCTCTTCAGCATTGGATGCATCTCATTCCAATGTTTGTAAACATTTCCTGCCCCGGGCTCGGCGGAGCGGCCTCCCACGGCAGAGTATTTAGGCTAAAAAAACACTATAAAAGAAGAAAGAACTGGGATATTTTCATAGACCTAAGGTAAAGGAGGTAGCGTTACATGAAATGTTTATTTTTACATTATTGTACAGTATGATTTCAGTAACTTTTTTCGTTCTTAATTTCGTGTGGCTCTTCATTTTCTTGGGAAGTAAGTTCATAAGTGGCAGTTTACACTAGGCTGAAGCAAGTCTTCTGTTAATATTAGGGACAACCCTGCTTTTACTAGGAAACAAAATAGTCCTCTCTGACATTTCTCACAAGGGAAAATAATAGTGCAAGCTATAAAGGCTTACTCTGGACAGGATGTCTTACTATAGAGAGGTATTATCTTCATTACATTATTATATTATTGTCAATTTACCCCACAGTTTCCTTGGTACCTTTAATGCCCTCCCCTGCTATCGGGGCCAAGAATGTGAGGATTTGGGCGGTTCTGCGGCTTAATTTCTACGTATATGTGTACTAGAGGGGGAGAGGAATGCATTGATACCAAAATTATCGCAGTCAGTCATGCAAAGATATTGTGAAAAATTACCTTATTCTGCTTTCTGTGCTCTTGGTTGTGGCACAGATATTTGTTCAAGTAAAGAGAGATACATTTTCTCTTGTGCTCCTGTATACCATGGGTTACTCAAGGGTAGTTGGAGGCTGAGAGAGTAGAAGACATAGACCCTTCGAGCTCCTACCAGGGAGAATCCCCTGGACTCCTCACCTGGGGGGTTTTCCTACAGGGGCAAGCCTCCTTCCCATGTGGTATTTTCCTAT